GATTCATTTATTCAATAAATAACCAGTTATGGATTGCTATGTTGAATCATGGCAATATATATTCCTAGATAGAGTAAATTCTTCAAGAGTATGATCAAAAGGTGAAACCTTACCATAAGAAAAATTAAAAGATAAATATCATAAAACATTATTTCATATTGTTAATATCATTATGTTAATGGCTGCCATTTATTGAATGCCTACTGTAGCCTAGGACTGTCTAAACAATAAGTCCCTATTTATTTAATCCTGTCAACAATGTCATAGAGTAGACATTTATTATCCATCTTTTACAAATGAGGGGTTAGGAAGTAATTTGCTCAGTGTCACTCAGTTTGACACACACTCGAAACACAAAGTGCTCTGTTCAAAAAGGTGGGCTGTTTCTATTAGAGAATATCAGGGAAGGTCTTTAGTAGATAATGGCCTTTGAGTTAGGCCTTGGAATACAGATATATTTGGAATGGGAAAGGGGCAACACAACCAAAGATCAAGGTGATTTTCAGGGGGCATTTATATGAAACAATAAAATAATTAATTTGGCTGGATGTAAGAGGGTGAAAAGCATGAGTGAGAATAAGACAAACACATATTAAGGCCAAAATGCACGTCAATATATGCATTTAACATAAAAATCCCTTCTAGGAAATAAGAAAAATGAAGTAATTCATGAACTGTTTAGCAACATAGCATTTTTAGAAATCCTAATCTATGTTTGTTTATTTTTTCCCTCAGCTGCTATTTCTACCCTTTTCCATTCCCTGCTTTCAAGCAGTTGGCTCTGTTTCTGATTTCAAAATTGTAAGTCCTAGAGTAGTGTAGAGAAATAGTTTGGGGAATGGATAATGTGTTTCATTCAGTTATGAAAGGACAGTAACTTTTCCTGGACAAAGAATAAATGCCTCCCAAGCTGTGTGGAGGAAAGTAGGAGACACAAGGAGAGGAGGCATGCACGTGGGACTGACAGCCATGTCGGGGACATGCCATGATGCCAAAGACGAAATCCTATCACTGTCAGAGGGTCCATGGGCAGACTGTTCTGGCAGAGGATCGGGGCAGCCTAAAAGGGAGAGTCAAATGTGGCCAAACAAATAAAGAAATACTAGATAGGGAGGGAACATGTGGACCTAAAAGGTTATGTTGGCTTTGAGGTTGGCCCCTGTGACATAGCATGGGGTGATAAAGGACTCAAGATGTATGTGCCTTCTAAATACCCTCTGCAAGCCCAAGTAGCTTAAATAGAGGCCTTGGACAGAGGTAGTGAGGAGGGAAGGAGGGGATGAACCACAAGAAAGACTGATATTCAAGTTTCTTACATGCCTAGCGTGATGGGCGGGGGGCTTGAACATAAATTAAGCTATGGAAAATAAAGCTATAGAAAATAAAGATCTATTTCTTAAACATCTGAATTTGTGAACTGTTTCATATCAACGGTTTCTAATTTTTCAGGCTGTATTAGTTAGGCTAGGCTAGTATATGATGTGGCAAGAAATAAACCCAGAAATCTCGGTGGCTTAACATAATAAACATATAATTTTCTCTCCGATTAGACTGGGATGTGGCTGAGCAGCCCTTCTCCCTCTTGTAGTCACACCACTAGAAACATGCAAAGCGGGAGCTTCCCTCTTTCCTTGCTACTGAAGGGAAGAAGTCGATGGGGAAAGCACGCTAGTTCTTAATTGCTCCAGCCTGGAAGCCTCGTACATCATTTCCTTTCACCTACCCTTATCCTGCACTAGTCGTGTGACCTCCAGCTAACAGTGAGAGGGGCTAGGGACAGTGAGAAATACGGTGGAGCATGGATACTTGGTCAATCATCTATTACCCACAGACCCATGCAGTTAGACAAAGGAGACATTCTATTTTACCTGCTGCGTTGCAAATACTTCATTTCTTCCAGGGAAGTGCTATTTTCATTGCTGGGCCAGGGCTTTGTGAATCTATGATTCTTGCTTTCTGAACTCACAGAATGTCCCCCAAAGTCCATTTGTATGTTCCAGGCAATGTTTCCATTCCCTTTCCTCTCCTCTTTCTGCCCCTCCTCTTCTAGAAAAGTTACAAGACTAATGAAACCGGGTTTATTGTGTGATTTGAAGAAAACCCTCATCAACTGCATTTCAAAATTGGTATTAAAATTTAAAGTCCAGAGCCCTTTAATAGTTGTCCCAGCAATTTAATGGCATGTTGTTTTTAGTCTGTCATTTGGACTAAGAACTGAATTGAATTGCAGCAAATCATCAGTTTGATTTCTACGAATTTCTTACTACTACTACAAAATATCTTTGCATTTAATGTACTAGTATGGCATAAAGGCATCATTTAGGATTATTTCCTGAGGAGTAAAGCAAGGACCATTTCAGAGCCTATAAAACATAAGATATTCTTTTGGTCTGCAATTTATTTTCATACTCTGCAGATATACTCTGTAAACACAGAAGCACACATAAGATTGTCAGAGTTTCCCTTAATGCTGGATTCTTTCTCTGTCCTGAGAATTCCATCTTGTTAAACTTATCTGACATTGGGTTAAAACTCTCACCAAACAATGCGTTATACCTGAGGAAACAGGAGTTTCATTTGGATCTAATAAAAGTTAAGTTTAGTTTAGTTTTGTTCTTTTTAAAAGCAAATGTCCTATGATGCCTCATCACAGAGTTAGGTGTTTTTTTTAGGCTGCATTGGGTCTTTGTTGCTGCATGTGGGCTTTCTCTAGTTGCAGCGAGCAGGGGCTACTCTTCATTGTCATGCACGGGCTTCTCATTGCGTTAGCTTCTCTTGCTGCTGAGCATAGGCTCTAGGCACGTGGGCTTCAGTAGTTGCAGTGCGCAGGCTCAGTAGTTGCGGTGTGTGGGCTCTAGCACACAGGTTCAGTAGTTGTGGCGCACGGGCTCAGTAGTTGTGGCTTGTGGGCTCTAGCGCGCAGGCTCAGTAGTTGTGGCACACGGGCTCAGTAGTTGCGGTGCACGGGCTTAGTTGCTCTGCGGCATGTGGGATTTTCCGAGACCAGGGATTGAACCCGTGTCCCCTGCATTGGCAGGGAGACTCTTAACCAGTGCACCACCAGGGAGGTCCCAAAAGTTAAGTTTTAACTGATTTGTCAGTGACTCTATTCAGTGACCTTTACTAGTATCTTTCTTTTAGTCTTACAGTATAGGCTCTTATTGCAGCATACAATATAGGAAGAATATTGTATTAATTTGTTGATTTGATAGTGAAATTCTTCCTCGTGATGCAAATGTATGTAAATGAACATCTAAATTCTGCTCTGAACATTCTGCTATTTCAGAATTGAGTTATAAAAAGGAATGAGAGTGAGAGAGAGAGAGAGAGAGAGAGAGAGGAGAATTAAAAAAAAGAAGAACAAGAAAAGAGGGAAAGACCATAGATTGCTACAATCTTTTTTTCTTCACTTAAAAAACTGTGCAAGTTATTACCCTACTCTTGGTTTAAAAAAATCTTTAGGTTAACGCTACTAAATGATTGTCATTCGTCATATCAGAGAATTTGGCATATAGGTTTGGATGGTTTATTGTGCTGTGTACTACTGATAAATCTACAAATACAGCAACTGTCACTATCTCTCTCAAATTCAAATTCATTTTCCATATGCTGAGTGTTTTTTAAAAAAAATATTTGGCTAGTACAAGTTTTGCCTGGCTAAATTGAACTTGTTTGAATATTAAGTATTTTAGGAAACAGAAGGAACAAGGTATTTATAAGGGTACCTTGGGATATCAGCTTAAATTTCTTTGGATCATAAGCATCATTGTTTGGCAACACAAATTATTACCCCTTTGTACAGTGATTAGGTATTGAAGAGTTGAAGAATGGATGTTAAGTGGAGCGATGCTTAAAACTGGCATATTGGCCCAAGTTGTTTTATTCTTTTACCACTTACATATGCCAGTAAGCTTAGTTGCTTTGATATTTTTCAGTATTGAATTTATGCAAGGAGTAAGATATATAGAAATGATTTTCCTTCAGATCAGTTTGCCATCTGATCAATAGTTTATGTTATTTGGTTGAGATTTCCCATTAAAAAGATGCTCATCTACTGCCTGGCTTGCTCTAACATTCTTAACAGTATTCTTTCGGCTTGTGAATGGTCTACTATACCTTCTTATCCCTGTGGACTACACTTTTTAAATTGTTCATCATTTAAGCAGCTCCATTCATTGATGTGATAGTTCAGTCCTTTTTTTTTTAGTTAATTTTTTTATTGAAGTATAGTTGATTTACAATGTTGTGTTTGTTAGTTTCAGGTGTACAGCACAGTGATTCAGTTATAAATATAAATATATATATCCTTTTTTAGATTCTTTTCCATATAGATCATTATAAAATATTGAGTATTCTTCCATATGCTATACAGTTGGTCCTTGTTGGTTATCTATTTTATATATAGTAGTGTGTGTATGTTAATTCTGAACTCCTAATTTATCCCTCCCCTCCCACTTTCCCCTTTTGCAACTGTAAGTTTGTTTTCAATGTCTGTGGGTCTATTTCTGTTTTGTAAATAAGTTCACTTGTGTCATTTTTTTTAGATTCCACATATAAGTGATATATGATATTTGTCTTTGTCTGGCTTACTTCACTTGGTATGATAATCTCTAGGTCCATCCATGTTGCTGCAAATGGCATTATTTAATTCTTTTTTATGGCTGAGTAATATTCCATTGTATATATATGTATATATATACATATCATATTTTCTTTACCCATTCATCTGTCGATGGACATTTTGGTTGTTTCCATGCCTTGGCTATTGTAAGTAGTTCAGCCTTTCTTCTTTGAGATTATTTATTGGAGGATTATCTTTGCTAAACCTGTCTTATTGTAGAAGAATTTTAGAAATTCTGTTAAGATTTTTTTCATTCAGTTTAATATTGCCACATTTTAAAGAAAATGAATGGGCTGAAATAACAGGTTTATATTTCTGCTGTCTACTGGCATCCATCACAATGTTTGAAACGTACTTTTTTTTTTTTTTTGCTCTGTAGATAACACCCTGAAGCTCCAACTTTGTGGTGGGCCAATTAAACTCCATGAAACATGGTCAGTACCCTGTAAGTATCTCCCTTCATATATAACTGCCAAGTTATTGATATTTTACATGTTCTTACTAGATAGCTTTCTCTCTGACTGTATTGTTTTCAATATGTATTTTATGATTGATTACTTTAAATCATGTATTTTATGACTGAGATATCAAAGTTCATTAATGGGGCCAATGGCCTCAGTTTAGCCTTTATCTAATTTTTGTTATTCTGTTAAGATTCTGTGGTTTGGTTTGACTCTTCTAATTTAAGTGTTCTTATTTATTTCTGTCAAGGTCTGCATTTCTCTGAATTGTGAAACTTTTGAATCATGTTTCAATACCACCTATACATCTTCAAACCTCAAATCAAGTTTCCTTTACGGGGAATTCCCCGAGAGTCCAGTGGTTAGGACTCCTCTCTTTCACTGCTGAATGCCTGATTCGATCCCTGGTCTGGTAACTAAGATCTCACAAAATGGGCAGCACAGCCAAAAAAAAAAAAAAAAAGTTTCCTTTTTGGGACTGTTTTGCTGTTAAGATGAAGAAAACAAGAAAAGAAAAGAAAGTTTTTTGAAAAAGAAAAAAAATGTATCTAAAACTTCCAAATTAGATTCAGAGGTTTGTTTCCTTTAATTTATAATAATGAATAACAAAAAAAGTACGCATTTGGCATCTGTAAATGGTTCACTTTATCACTATTGAATGAATTCCTTTAACATTTCTGAATCTGATTTTTGAAAAGGTAAATCCGGAGGCTTGTATCTCTTAAGTATTTTCAAATAGCAAAGACTGTTGTTGTTATTGTTTTATTAGTAAGCATAATATATGGAAAGATCAAAGGCATGGGAAAAAGACTTGACTTTAAATTTTAACTCCATAATCTACCATGTTAAAATCTTAAAATACTATCTCCTTTGAGTCTTAGATTCCCAATATCTACTTAGGAATAATAACAATAATATCTATTTATCAGGGTTATTGAGAGGTTTAAATTAGAAAATATATGGGAGCTCAATTATTATTAAATTTTTCTTCCACTCTTCTCTAGCCTATTCCTGCTTCACTTTCAGATCTGTTTCATGTAATAATTTGTATTTAATTTCTTAGCTACAGACCAGAAGTTTCAGTGGTATGCTGGTAAATTTTAACAACTAGTTCTTTAGAGGAAAAAAAGCCCTGATTTGTAGTGTTTATTAATTTCTGTGGTATAAATACTCCCACCATGGCCAATTAGAAGCTACCAACGTGATGTCACTGAAGGAAGAGTTAAGAAGAGAAACAATGCCCTCTAGCAGGCTGGTGGGAGTGGGCTTCTGCACACCACTAATGCTTAGGACCTAGGGCTGAATTCTTCTGTGTCTTCTCCATAGTCCCCTCAATGGTAAATGGAAAGAGGGGAGGTGGAAAAGAATCAGTTTGACAAGTGAGAGATTAAGCATAAATAATAAAGAGGCAGTCTCTTGATGGATTATTTACAGGTTCCAAGAGTAATATGGTAGAAAAACCTGAAAATTTTCACTGCAAGTTCTAACTTCTTCGCTGCCTCTCATCTGCTCTTTCTTTGCCGTTCTAGGTGCTGATTATTTGGTTTTAATAATGAAAAAACAAAAACCAGTAGCTTCTTTTCCCTGTCCTTACGGTGTTGGCACTCCAATGGAAGGGAGACTTTAAAGACTTAAACCAAAAAAAAAAAGGCATAATTACAAACTATGACGTGTGTTACAACGGAACTGAACTGAGTGCTAAGGCAGGAAACAGCAGGTTGACGACTGTAGTTAAAGCAGTAAATGGAACTTCTGAAGACTTCTTTTGGGAGGCTGAAAATTATGAACTCAATTTCTTTAATAGTAAAGGGCTATTCGAATTATCTATTTCATCTTGGGTGAATTTTGGTAGTTTGTATTTTCTGAGAAATTAGTCCATTTTGTCTGTTCCTAAAACAAACAAAACCAGGGAGTCAGTAAACTTGAGGTCAAGAGGAAAAGCATTCATTTCTTT